TCGACAGTTAGAACCAGAGGGTTTAAATAGGTACCCCTAGTTGGGGTGCAGGTACGGCAAATAGTGTAGAACCTTCGGGCAGACTACTTAAATTAGGCACTCAAAAGGTGCACGTGTGGCTTGATATACTCTTGTTGTAATTGTATAATGTTATATCTACTTAATAAAAAGTTCTTGGCCAGAAAGGTTACCTTAATACCAAAAAATAAAAAATAGACTTAACCATTTGACCAATTTGATCAGACCAGTTTGACCAATAAATATTTGGTTGACCAGTAATTTGACCAACTCTGGATATATTATATAACCATTTAAAACTTTTTTGTAATTTTTTTGTTTGTATCTGAAAAATGTGTACTAAGCTATATGTATATCTAACTTTGATAATAATCATCTGATATAAAAAAGAATTTGCATTTTATTTTTTTTATGCGACAAAAAGGTATTTAAAATTACTTTTTTTAATTTTTTAATTCCTATAGCTGTGCTATTTATGAAATATATAACTTTGGGTCAAAATTTCAAATAATAAATTATCGAAAGAACATAATACTGACTAAATTGGCCAGCATTATAGCTAGTGCCAAAGATGGCATTGAAATGAAACCTACTCAAAGCTAGTTTTCAGAAGAGTTTTAATCTGAAACTAGTTTTGAATTTTTTAAAAAAAATTGAAACTCCAAAACCCAAAACCAAGAAACTATAATCCAAAACCCAAATCTATAATCCAAAACTCAACAATATAATATTGAAGCTTTTAAAATTTATTATAAAGTTGACTTATTTTTAATGAACCCAAAATTTTTAAATAAATTATAACATCATATAGATTATTTTATTTTCGGTTTATTTTTTATTTTTTTTTAAATCTAGTCAACTTTATTTTTAATATCATACCATTATTACAACTGATTTCAAAATTATAGAAAAAATTGCAGATGTTCTATAGAATAGGTAAGCAAATTTCACAAACTCTGCAACTCTGCTAAATATCTATTAATGATTATTAATCATCAGCAGAGTTTATTTTTTATATTGCCCACCTATTCTATAGAACATCCAAAATTGCCAATAATGAATCAATAAGTATTTGATGCCTTTTGATACTGACAATTATTTACAGCTGTTTTTATAAATTCTAAGACACCTAAAAATCTTCTTGTTTCCCAGAATCTTTTTAGTTTTAACCAATAAATTACCTAACTCTTCAGAAACTACATTGCTATCTCCGAACTGAAGGTTCAAAATAGCGATGTAGTTTCCAGAAAGCTAGGAAATTTACTAGATGAAACCAAAAAAATTCTGAAAATGAGAAAATTTTTATAAGATCAGGTAACTAAAATATAATACAATACAGCAACATACATACTTGTCACACTTATTCATTTTCGACAAAAACTCATTTTTAAAAAATTGTGTAAAATTTCAATTCCTATTCTTTGGCAAGTTCTATTTTCATTCAAATGAAGCCTTAATTCATTTCTAATTATTTTTTGACAAAATTTTGGTTTTAAAAAATTGTGCAAAATTTCAATTCCTATTCTTTGACAAGATCTATTTTCGTTCAAACGAAGCCTTTATTTATTTATTTCTAATTATAAAATTAGTTTTTAAAAAATTGTATAAAACTTCAATTCCTTCCTATTCTTTGGCAAGATCTATTTTCATTCAAACGAAGGCATTATTCATTTCTAATTATTTTTTGTTTCTTGTCGAAGAAGAAAAACTCAGGTTTAAAAAACTAAACTAAATTTCAATTCCTATTCTTTGGCAAGATCAAATGAAAGCATTTATTTATTTCTAATTATTTTTCGTTTCTTGTCAAAGATGAAAAATATAAATAATATAAACAGAAAATTTTTTATTTTGATTTCGTTTATCATGCATTCTCAACAGATATTAATAATATCTTGAATCCTAACCCAAGATTCATTTTTAAACCAGTCGACAAATTCTTTAACTTTTTTAATGGCGGCACCTTCTCGAGCAATATATTTGTTATAAAGTCTAGTTTATATTCGATTCCTTTTTATATTTCTTGTTACAGCTGTTTACATAAATTCTGGCCGGAATCTTTTCGGTCTTCGGACTGAAGGTTTGAAAATAGCGATGTAGTTTCCAGAAAGCTAGGTAATTTACTGGACGAAATCGAAAAGTTTCCGGGAAATGAAAAAATTTTTAGGTGTTCCAGAATTTATGAAAACAGCTGTAATTATTTTATTATACTGATCATGCTGAAATCAATAACTTATCGAATTCGGCCGAAATTATCATCGGCAAATTTTTTTAGGTGCCCCAGAATTTATGAAAACAGCTGTAATAGAAAAATTAATTTTCACTTAAATAGTTTAGAAATCTTTGAAAGCTCATCTAGTGATACAAACTTTACCTTCGTCTTCAACCTGCTGTAGTGCTCCTAGGTCCGGTTCTGGTCTGGTCCGGGTTCAGACTTTAAATTTTATTACAGCTTCCTGGAACACCTGGCTGAATGATTTTTCAGCCAATTCGATTAAGTTTGTGACTTCGGCATAATAGATTCAATAAAATTCATATATATATACATAATTAAGATCAGGTACTAATATAAATATTATGAATATTTTATCTCTGGTAGAATACAGAAATATGATATTTTCAAAGCATCTTCGCTGGAAAATATTTTAAAAAAAATTTTTAGAGGCCTATCATTTCGAAAAATTACCAAACACATATCTTTTATAAGTCGGGTTCTTAAGACTTGTATATACAAATAAAAGTAATATTGATTTATATACAGGATCTTCTTTTAACATGTACTTCGTGCAATATGTTTATTATAAAAGTCTATATAATTAATATATAGTGCATTTTTTATATTTCTTATTGACACATTAAATATATTGGATAAGCATTCGAACGAAAGTTTAATAATGTTGACATTATTATTACAACGGTCTGTAGAACAGTCATTACAGCATTATGAAACAAAAGTAGTTTTTATTATACGGATCGTGCCGAAATTACAAACTTTATCGAATCGGCTGAAAAATCATTCGGCCAATCTTTATCAGGTGTTCCAGGAATTATGAAAATAGCTGTAATAAAATTTAAAGTCTGAACCCGGACCAGACCCGAACCGGACCTAGGAGCACTACAGCAGGTTGAAGACGAAGGTAAAGTTTGTATCACTAAACTATTTAAGTGAAAATTAATTTTTCTAATAAGTGCATAAATTTATAAATAATTTAACATTGTAAGCTATATATTTAATATTGTTAATATAGCAATCAACGATTTGATAGCATTTCGGCGAAATGTCCAAAAAAAAAAAAACCAAAGAAGGGACTCAAGTAGTGTTTTGGATCCGTGGCAGAGCCAGTGGATTTTAGTAGCATCTAAAATAGCGCTATTTTTTAGCAAAATAGCTAGCAACATTGTTTGTGCTAAGATGCGAAATTTGCTAAGCATGCGACTATTCCTTTTGTTCTTAAACTGATTTATATAAACGTGCAATTATATGCATGTTGTAAATGATGATAGATTAAGAACTCATCGAAGAACATACGACTACATTAAAATTTATAATTGACAAATATAAATTTTGTAATAAGCTATTTTGCTAAATTTGCTAAATTTACTAGCTAATTTTGCTAGCTAGTTTTGCTTCTAACGACCACTGGCTCTGATCCGTGGATTTTTTAGCTCAATCCACTGGATTTTACACCCGGTTATAAACTATCCAATAAAATCTGTTGAATCCGGTGAATTTATTACTATTGTTGTTTTTTTTTGAAATGATGTCTACATACAAAGGACTCTTTATTTAATAAATTGCTAATTCAAGTACTTTTCAACTACATAAGTTGTCTAATTTTCCCACACTAAAAGCTCGTTTTGTTCTGTTTTCGTTATTAATACGCAAGAGTTTTACAGGATAACAATAATGAAGTAGAAATTTAATCATTCACCCGAAAAAACTGTTATTTTTTAAATAATTAACATTACGTCACTGTTTTTATCAAATTGCTTTGTTATCGTTACAAATAAGCAATCACTTCGGATATCCATCGGATCCAAACACTAGACTCAAGAAAATCGACTTAATTGCTGCCGCTATAGCAATACTACTGTAATTGCAACACTAAAGCTTGTTCTTGTCGAAAAAGATTCATTAATACAAGAATGTGTAAAAATTACTTTATTTACAAAATTTATGTAATCAAAGATAGATTCATATTTAAATTTGAAGATTTATGTTTAATTAATTGCAAAAGTAACATACGTTATTTTTAAATTTAAGAAATTTTGATTTTTAGCGGATGGTCGAGATTTATTTGATTTTTGCTTATTCTAAAAAAATAAATCGAATGAATAAATTAGACTTCATTCAGATTGCAAAATTATATACTATATCCTTAGCGCACCATCAATAAAGAACATAGTAATTTGTAATTAGCTATTTTAGAGAAGGAACGTAACCAATTTCTCATCCAAAATTAGCTGACCCTAAAATAGATAACTCAGACCTCGCCAAAGAGACCACGTTGGTTGTCAACAATATGCGGACTAATACCGTAAACTTCAACGATTTTTACAGAGCAATCCCCAAAATTCCTGGTCGGATTTAGGTCGGCATTTAGCCCTAGTGGTTAGTAGGTTCTATAGCAAAATTATCAGCTGGGCACTTTTCACTTAATAAATAGCCACGATTTCATTAGTAAAATTCTTAGTGATTATTCGATCATTTCCGGCCCTGCCGACCAGGAATTTTGGGGATCTTCCTGTATGAGTTCATTTTATCACAATACCATAGATGAAACGATTTCCCTAGATTTTTATTGGTTATACAAGATCAATGCATGGAATATTCTCGAAACTCACTATTATTTGAAGATATCTGGTATTGAATATGCCGGAAAGACCTAGAAACAAAGCGGATCAAAAATTTATTTATAACGATAGCTAATTTCGTTATTAAAACTCGTCTTATTTCCTCCGAAACAAAAATTTTCTTCAAAAAAATGAGTAATTGGAAAAACCCGAATAATTGGTATTTTATATTATACTGACTTTACGATTCATGTTGATGTCACTTCTCTTACTTACCTAAAACTTTTTATGCTAGGCATTGGTGGGTACAAAAAAAAATATAATTTATATTTAGTACTGTTGTAACATTAAAATGTTATTGAAATCAAAAATTGTTAATTAGGACCAGTAAAAACTGTTTAAACTGGTCCAAAGAATATTTTAAAGAGAAATTAATCGGACTTAATGTTGAACATGAAGGCATTAAGGTCAAGATTTCGGATCTAACTCGATGCACCGGCGACGCAGATTTGAATCAAAGAAAAGGAAAATTTATTCCAATCATTGATTTAGTAATAGAATTGTCTTGGTGTGGTGAGAAAATTGGTTGATTTCATAATTTATAAGCACTGGTATATTTCGATATTTTACGAATCGAAAAAATAGGTACCACATCGGATGACACCGAGGTTACGGGAAAGATTAATGTTCCTGAACTTCAAGGTACAGAAGGGGGTTATGAGGTAAGCAAATAGTTAAAATCATATAAAGCATATATTATGACTTACTAAATGCATTTAATACTGTAATAGTTTAAAGTCACTGTTGATGACGAAACTAGCGATAAAGAACTTATAAAGGATGTAATCCTTACCCATCTGACGCCTTTGATAGCCGAAAAGTTTAAGAA